ATATTATTAAAATTTGGGCTATAATGGTTGTATTGATGTATATCAACTTGAAATGCTCCCAAAAATGGCTCCACAGCATGTAAACATATAATATAAGCTCTGGAGGACTTGGTTCTATGGTCGGTCTTAAAGGGTTAATAACAAGTTAAAATCCTTTGATGTTTGTGTCTGCGCAGGTCTCCATAGGGAAGATGTACGAGGCCCAGAAGACTGTGGTCGATTAAGAGGAGGCGGAGTCAGACAGAGTTGACATCAGCAAGCAAATCACTGCCCCGACCTCCAAAAGCAAGAACACCTGCAGCTCCTCGTCTGGATTAAACTCTTTAATGTCACTGTGAACGGGTGGGAGAGGGGAGATGCATTATGGGAGACGTAGGAGGGTAGAGGTGGAGTTTAGTGCTTGAGTTTTGTTTTCTGGGACACACCAATCAGAACGTTTGATGAGTCACGGGTCAGCGATGATGCGTTCACTGACAAACTGAAACATTCGTAAATAAATTCACTTTAATCAGAGTTTGAGTTTAAAAGCTTCCAGATGAAATAAAGATGAATGACGTGTTCGAGTGTCTGAGTCTGAATCACTGTGTGCACTGACGCAGCGCTCACCTGTCCAGGTGAGGGGCGGCACACCTGGACAGGTCGTCCTGCAGGCTGCAGGGAGCTGTGGAGCTCAGGGAGAACATGCTCCTCCACCTGCTGCGAGGTGATGGTGCTAACCTCTGCACCATCACCTCTTCAGCTGCTGCGAGGTTAATGATGCTAACACACCTGGAGTCTGAGCTCTGGGACGTGATTGGTCAGAGCGTCCGTCCTGCTGTCTGAACATGAAGCTGAGCACTCGCACTTCTGACAGGCGACATCACGGCGGCTGAACTCGACCCCTGTGAATCCAGCTGAAACCGGCCAATGAGCTTGTGTTTGAACACACCTGAGTCCAGCTGTGGGCTGAAGCGTGGTCAGTGGGAGGAGGAGGGGCTAATAATAGAGCCTTGTTGGTTTAAGAGTGACCCAGTTCCACAGCGCTGCGGCGTGAGAGATCATGTTGCTCAATCTGAGGCCGCCGTTTCATCAGACGAGCACAGGACGCTCCGCCGCCGTTCTGCAGAGACGCCACGTGCACGAGCTGCTTCTGCACACAGGACCTCAGACCCACGGCGCGTTCAGCCAAAATCTACACACCACCTCCGTCATCCTCCACCTCAAGCTCAGGCTTCACATACTCACTCTGCTAAAGACAAAGAAGCAGCCACGATTAGCCAACCAATCACCTCTC